ATTTTTCTGTTTGTTTTAGAATCATACAAGATACAGTGTATATGTTAATGTTAGTCATTAAATAAACTATACTTGTTTTGTTGGTGTGTGTGTGTGTGTGTGTGTGTGTGTGTGTGTGTGTTATAGAGAACACATGCATAAACTAACTGAACCGGCTAAATAAAGTGGATTAAGGAGCTCAAAAGTTGACCCTTTGAATTAAAAACTATGTTTTGAGTTTTTGACTAAGTTTGGAGATTACTATATCAAATAAATAATAAGGGGTAATCTACTCTCATTCTACCAACTGATTTCTCTCTATTTTTTTCCCTTTGGGGTTTCTTTGAAAAAACAAACAAACAAACGTAATTTGACGTAAAAGTGCTTCCAAACTTGTCAGTCTATAGCTGTTGCCTCAGTTACTAAGTAGGTTTGAAACAATGAAAACATCATTTACTCATAATGAACCTTTGGACAGTTTTGAACTCACTCATGGTTCCATACATTTTCAGTTCAGTGAAAAAACAAAAGAAAAACTTTTTCATTTATTAAAATAATAACTGTATAAATACCCAATTAGCCATAATTCAAATTGCAACAGTTACAGCGCTTAAAAGCTACAAACAGTAAGTACTGTAAGAAAGTAAGAAAAAAGGCTATGAGCTGTTAACTCTCAATATAACAAAAACATAAATCAAATAAAACATATCCATTAAGGAGAAAAACACTCACACACACAGTCAGCTGTCACACAGTCAGCTGTGTAATTTCAGCTTCAAAAAAATTGCCCATAGTAACAATGATTTTCTCTCTGTTAACATTGAGAATGCAGCTCATGATATGATGAGGCTTTTATCATGAATTTATTCCCTTTGTGAAAGTAAAGCGTGTTGTAGGAACACTTTTAGTGCCAATAAACTGTCCTTTTGAAAATATGATTTGTAAACAGAATTTTCTAACCCCTTCATATAATGTTATGAATTCCACTTTTATTTGGCCCAATATAGTATATAAGTTTTCTCCAGAGCAGTGTAAAAATCTAAACAGACTCTTTATTTGAACACAAATAGGTAAAAACCAGTTTCTTTCATGTCTAAACCTGTTAGACTGCTATAGCTCACTGACAACATCTAGCAAGCAAGTCAAAACTACTAGACATCTGACATTTGCACTTAACAGACCCAAAGATATTTGATAAATGGGCTGGCACTTACATAGCGCTTTTGTACTCAATTCAAGCACTCAAAGAACTTTCTTACTACAAGCTTCATTCAATCATCCACACGACACTGAAGTCCTCTTTTTCTATCCAAACCACTTTTAACCTTTACTGTTCACATACTCACACTCTGCATCGTGGGCCACTGAGGGTTCAACATCTTGCTCAAAGATACTTTGCAGTAAATGCACCACTATCATTCACTGCCAATCTTAGCAATTTTTCTATCGTGATATAAATAGATCATCCTTCTCTCTTCATAAACATACTGTGTAATTAATGAAATCATATATTCAGGCATGGATTCGGATTACATAGTTCTCTTGCAGGGGTTAGCCACAGAAGTTGTACTATAGGAGTATTGTTGTTTCAGGAAAGCTCGTGGTATTTTCATTACACTCAGTTATTTGATCAGGGACCAATTCATGGGGCGTAAGTGCTGAACCAACTTGATTGACAGATTACACCATAATGCGATTGTGGTGGCAGATGCAGTACACAATAGAGATAAAAGGCAGCTGTTATCCGTGTACCTGTAGATAGAGATACTGGAGATTATGTAAGCCTGAAAAGATCCCGGGAGGGAGGGTGATCAGGCCACAGTGGTATAGATGAAGGGCATGTAGCCGACCAAGGCCCAGGAAGGTGTCCGAGGCAATGGCCTTCAGGTGCCGGTTGTCCCCAAGATCAAGCTCCTCTAGGCGGTCAAAGCCATGGAAGGTGGATGGTTGTATATAGGAGATGTTGTTGGAGTAAAGCCACAGCATAGTGGTAGTGGGCGAGAAATGCCCTCGAAGTAGCCGTTGGATCTTGTTGTTTTGCAAGAAAACGCGCTCGCTCTGAGCGGGGATGCCCTCAGGCACAGCATGGAAGTTGTGGGCCTGGCAGGAGACAGTGCTAGGTGAAGTGTAGCAGATACAGTGGCGAGGGCAGGGTGAAGAGAGATCCAGGCCCCACAACACCAACAGTAGCTCCACCCCACCGTAACCTGAGAGGGGAGGAGGAGAGGAGGATGGGGATGAAAAAAAGAGAAGGATGGAAAGAGAGAGAGAGAAGCTTTATTAATTTAATTCATACGGCAGAGATTCTGTTATCAGACACATCTTGAATGAAACACTCATTGCTCTCAGTTTACAAGGGCAACAATAGGCATGGTTCAGTGCAGACGAATTACAACGCTGACACAAATCTCTCTCTCTCTCGCGCACACACACACACACACACACACACACACACACACACACACACACACACACACACACACACACACACACACACACACACACACACTTGTGTATTGGTGTATTGAGGACCCACTCTTCCTACATATTTTTCAACTGTTTGCTCTCAAACCTTTTCTACACCCACTGCTACCTTCACAATAAACACAATAAACTAGTTCAAACCCCCAATTTTAAAGTCATGGGATCATTTTCTACCAAAGCCTCAGAAAGGCTCTGTATACAATGTGCAAAACATGGAAAAATACTGCTCAGGTGTGCAAGCATTTTGTTAAGAGGGGAGAGTGTGTGGTGTTTTTTATCATGCGCTAGTATTGCTGTCAGTGAGGTAAATACTAGGGGTGCAACGATAAACAAAATTCACGGTTCGATATTTTTTCGATACAAAAAAATGTTCATGCCTTTTTAATTTGTCATTTATTAAAATTATAAATATATATTTTAACTCAAAAGTACAGTTTTTAAATTTAATGTTGCTGAAACAAAAGTAATTAAAAAATAAATATATCTCAGGGCTCTCAAAATTTCAAAATCCCTGGTAGCCCTTCGGGCAGGGACTCTTCAGTTTTTGGTAGCCCAAAATAAATGTAAGTAGCCCGAATAAAAAAGAGAGCAATTTTTTGATTGATGTTTTGTTTCCTGTTTTGTTTCCTTTACAATATTATACATTAAAGTATAATATTGTAAAGGAAACAAAACATTAATCAAAAAATTGTTGAAAAACAAATTACAACATTGTATAAAAATTACAATCATCAACTCAAATACTTGGTTCTAATTGAACAGAAATTTCTATGAACTTGTAAGAACTGTGTAGGACATGAATCAGTCTGTGTCAGATCCTGAATTTGAAATTTCCACTGAAGTCACGGGTAAGAGACAAGTGGAACCAAGATCTAGGCCATTTGCTTTTTGAAGTTTGCAAAGACTGCTAAATTTTGCCAGTGGTAGTTCACTCTTTGCAACATAGTACGCTGTTCTAAACAGATTTTTCAGGTTTATTTTTAGTATGTTATTTGCAATTGGTGTTTGTTCTGGGAAAGATATTGCAGACTGAGCAATAATGCATTTCTTGCATTTCTCATGGGTTCTAATGGGGGCCTTTCTTAAAATGACTGGTCCCAGTAACAAAGGCGCTTGTCGACTCAGAAATCGAGAGAAAACCAACAACACACCCGGCAGAACATTATGTTATTTACACGGGTGCACATAAGTGGTCCGCATGTGCGCATTCGCTGTCAAAATAAAAGACGCGCACCAGATAAGAAGTTGCAACGCGCGTTTGCGTCCATATAAAAAGCACTGTTTTTGTCCGCTAGAGTGGGATTTTCACGGCACATTCTGCACCACATCTCTGTGCGTTCATCATTTGTTTGAAGCCAGCTCACCTCCTGCAACCACTTTTCCGAGAATACGCGCTTCTTTTGTGGTTCGGACTCCTTCTGACATTTGTTTGGAGGTGGAGGAACACCAAAGTAATTGCTTAAAGGAGCTTGCTTCTTCGACATCTTTAAGAGTTCTAAACAAATGTCTGTCCTCCTCCAGAAAATCTTATGTATGCAAACACGCGTTGCAACTTGGCTCTTTCCAAAATAAAAGCTATACTATACGCTTCTTCTGGGCTATATTCTCAGCAGCATATTGTAGCGGGTCAGGGCTGTTCGGGGTTCTGTTTGTACAGTTATGTTTTGTTTATGTTGCCATAGTGACGGGTGACGCCCTCTCGCTGCGACGGTGTGTCCTTCCGGGGTCAGAGGGCGCCCTGTGTGTTGTTGTTGTTGTTGCTGTGCGGTTGCCGCGCTGAGCAGTTAGCTAGCGGCAGTGTTCTTCTGCAGATGTCAATAAACGGCTGTGCTCCCTGGCTAGCTCACGGGAAGCAAGACCAAACGACACCTCCGTCTCCTCCTTGTCTGAGCTCGCCACAATATTAAACATATCAGGTCCCCATAAGGAGAATCATGTGCTAACGGCTGTCTAAATGACTCGAGTAAAGTTTGTAGCATGCATGCTTGTTGTTTTTGTCTGCTTCCACTTGTCTTTGCACTAGGATGATGTCGGCGTAAACGCGCAGTCATATTCGTTGTGCTCCCAGATCTGAATGAGGGTGGGAGGTTCAATTTGCCATGTTGCAAGGAGAGCTTAACTTCTGTCTCGCTAGCTTGCCCTGCGCTCTTCCTTCTGACGATGCTGTCTGTGTTGAGCGCTCAGTGGATCTGCGCTCGACAGTGCAGCCTAGGCGGAGTAGTCGAACGCAGATTCACTGAGCGCTCAACACAGACAGCATCGTCAGAAGGAAAGTTGATAAAATAAATTACAAATTTTGTATTGTTCGATACATATGCGTACCGAACCGAAAGCACTGTATCGAACGGTTCAATATCGATACGAGTATCGTTGCACCCCTAGTAAATACATATATATTTTTCTCTTCCTTCCACTAATCTTGACAATATGGCACACACACGCACACATCATCATCCCATCATGCAGTGTTATATCCTTTGGTTATCTTCTAAAGGCGACACAAAATCAATGTTTCTGCTGCTTACAAGTGAACACACACCACACCTGTAATACGTTCCCACAATAAAGGAAACCAAGAAAGGAGGATATTGGGAGAGGGAGGAGGTGGAGGATGAATAGGGGAATCATCTGCAGTGTGGCTGTGAAGTGGATATTACTTTTTGTTTTCAGATTCCCTTCATCTCACTCACATTTATTTGACTTTTTTCCCTGCTCTGGATCATTCTAGTGTTTGATGTGTTTGTAAGGCTGGGGAGACAAAAATGAAGTCAAGCAGAAAGAGATGAGGGTGCAGATCCCGGGAATAACTGCTAAATGAAGAGAACGATGACCTGTGTGTAACTTTTGGTGTGTCGGTGTATATGTCTGCCTTTCAATGTCAATTTTATTTATATAGCATAACTTTAGAACCACAGTCTGTTTAAGGCACTTCAGATTGAAGACCCTACAATAGTATAATTATTATTCATTTAAATTTGATTTAGACAAGTCATATACAATACAGACAAAGATGACACAAGCAAGTAAGATTCCTTTTATTTGAAATGAAATGTGTGTGTGTGCGTAACTTGTGCTTTTGCACCAGCTTAAGTCTCAGATTGTATGATTAGAAGGGAGAGCTAAGACGGGTATTGAAATTAAACCAATAAAGAAAGAAAGAAAGAAAGAAAAATAAAGAATAAATAGATTAAGTAGTTAAATGAATGGTTCCTATAATATTAGAAAGAAACTCCAACAGTCACATGACCCCAGCATGTGGTGACAATGGGAAGTAAGCACACTTTTTTTAACAAGAAGAAACCTCAGACAGGAAAGGGCTCAATCTACTCGGTTTTGGTTTTTTCCGATTACAATTGAGTATCATCTAATTTGCATGTGGTCGTTATAACAACGTGGCCAAAAGTACGGTGACGTCATTTGTATGCAACACAAAGACAACACATCAACGTCGAGGTGACGGTATACCTGCTATAGTGAGTTTCATTTCTTGCGGTTCTGAGTTTTTGAAATCTGTTTTTACTCCATGTCTTTCTAACTGATGGTTTGCAATACTGTGCTGTCTTTGTTTTGTTATTTATTACATTTCGGTTCATAACTTGTATATTATTTCTAGTATTAGTTGTACAAGTTGTAATAATCATCTTCCCTGTGTTTCTGCCTCATCTCTTCTTTTTCCAAATTTAGGCCTGTTTGTGTTTCCTTGTCTCGTGTATCTTGTTAAGTTTTTGTATATGAATGGAACCAATAAAACACCAATGAACAATATTTAACAATATAGAGGGGGAGCAAATTAAGAATGGAATAGAAAGAAAATAACACAAAGACAATCACGCCAAAATAGAAACATGTTTTTGTGTTAGCAGGCCCATGACCAGGGTTTAGAGATTAATGAGGTCCTACCCTGTTTCTTATAAAGCACCTTTTTACTCTACCTGAGCACTCAAAGCAATTTATGCAGTATGCCACATTCACCCATTCACTTATCCCATTTGTTTTTATACTTAGGTGCTTTCTATCAGTCACACACATTCACTCTCCAATGAATGCATCAAAAGGCAATTTAGGGTTAGTATCTTGCCCAGGAAAATTTGGGATGCAGATTGGAGCAACCAGGGAATGAATCACCAACCACTGACACTACCTCTGAAGCTACATTTAAACCACACAAGTCATGCTTCCACCTAAACCCCCTAAATACAACCCAATGACAGGGAAATTAGAATTCCTGTCTTTTCAAAGTAAAAGCCATCTAGAGTGTCACACATTGATTCGTGCCAATTTTTATTGTCTTATTTTGAAAAAAGTTTCAGGTTCAGTACTCAGTGATCTAATAGCTATTAACTGGCATGTGTGCGTGATATGGACAGATGTGATGGACAGATGTCATCCTGACCAGGACATCGCTGCTCTGTAAAGAACAACATGTTCTAAAATGTAAGCAGAGGATAGCAAGAGTTTTATCCACACACTGCACGATTCTGTATTACTCTAAGCGGGACTGCAGCATTCTGTCCTGCTGTAACATAATGTGTGTTTGTCAGTATATCTAAATTCCTTGTAATAGTTCATAAAGCTCTCAGTGGTTTTTACTTCCTAATTACATCTCTTACTTGCTCACTGTCTGTAACCCAGTGAATGCTCTGAGGTCATCAGATGCAAACAATAGTTGCCTCGAAGCCCTTAATGTTTTAAGGTAAAGACCCTATAATAAAACAAAGAAAGCAGAGAAAACCCCCAAAATCACATGAATCCCTTTGAGCAAAAGCTTT